GCAAAATGAAGAGATACTCGAAGGTCATCTGAATCATGCAAGTTTGTCTTGTGATAGGATTTGGCACTTAAGTGCACTGAGCATTGCAGATGGTGATATTCAAGTGTAAAACCATCAGGCATCGAGGATACAACAGTGGATTGAGTCAACTGCGACCATGAGCACCACTACCCCAGCTGCTACTAAGTAGTATTTGCCGTGCCGTTCTGACGAGGTATATCAACACGCTCTGATCATTATCATGGAGGCGTCTGTATGGTCAGACCGCCGCCCCCACTCAGGTAGACAATGCACACTCGTGAGTTTCCATGCCACTTGAACATGGAACGAACGAGCTCGTCAAGCTCCGAGCTACTGAGTGTGTTGATGCAACAAATTAGTAGGTCATACGAGATCGCAGCTATGCCACCTTGTTTTCTCGTAGATGTTTGCGAGCTTATGTTATGCACGATCAGGAAAACGTAATTCACTACAGAGTGCTACAGAGCGCTCTGTAGCATTCTGTAGCACAATCCAACCCGATTTCTCCTCATGTCGCACATCATGATATGCCACTTCCGTATCGAAGCATCTATGGTATGTGTCAGTCTATGCTTCACCGATCGTGAAGGTCCTTCTTCACATGCGCTCCGCCTGTAGTTGCTGTTCATGACACGAGCACTAAGAACTATTTAAGCAATACAACTACCGTCGAGGTACAAGCGAAAATACTCGAGGATATCTGTATCAAACTATACGAGTAACCGTTCGCTGCGAGTGCACCATCTCCATGGGAAGCATAGCAAGCGTTTTGATCTTACTTCAGAGCTGAGTGAAGTACAGTTAACAATTGTAGACGGAGAGATGGGTAGACATTACTGAATAGTACTTACCAGTGAACCAGGCGCGTAAGTCGGCTTTCATATCCTCATCAATCTTATCCATCATGGACTGACACAATTCGACAGCTGCTTTACAACTACCTGCTCGAAAGAGTGCATAACACTGTTGCTGGTTCGCGGTTTGCCATAAGGACTTGAGGTCCCAACCAAATAGCTGTGGAAAACATGCAGTTGAGCACGAAACAATTTTCGGTTGCGTCATATCAGCGTACCACGACAAACTCATCGTACGTCACATGAATTGGCGATTTATAGAAGAAAGTGCTAGCATTTGCAGCGACAGTGAAGTGTTCAATAGCTTCGTTGTGGCGCGCGCCCTCCAAGGCAATGTTTCCCAGTTGGACGCGTAGGTAGGCCTGGTGTGCGAAGGGCAATAACCAATGACAACACAGGGACCTGATGTGATCGAACGGGTACTCACTTCTACGATACGACAAGCGACAGGATCGACATTGGGACACGCAGCTAGTTCTCGGATGCGAAGAATTGCCTCTTGATGTTCATTTGCATTGAACAATGCAATGGCCTAAAAACCGCAATGAAGCACGGAGTATGTTGGAAAAATATTGCCTGCCTTGATCAAGAAAAGGAAGTGATTGATCTTCAAATCTCGGTTCGTGAACATGGATGCGAGGTCAAATGAGATCCTCGCAGCCAGAACCTGCTTTTTCCCGCAGAAGGCAATGCCCTCGGAGATATGGCCTACCAACGATGGCTGAATGCTGACGGACTATGCCATCATCAAAGTTAACCTTTGTAAGGAGGTCACGATGGGTCAGTCCGTCTCACCTGAATTGCGTCTTGAAGTGCTTGGTCCCAGTCGCATTTTCGCGCCATAACCAATGCGCGATTAGCATAGGCGGTGTGATCGTTAGCATCAGTGTAAATATCTAGATTTAGCACCCTTTCGGCAGTAGGCCAGTCCCCAGTTATGCATGCCTCGCGGACTGTCGAGTTCATAGCGAGGAACTGCGTAAATCATGTTCGCATTGCGTTATAAGAGTCAAGGTTTAGAACATGCCTTGAAATCGGGGTAGGCTTGAGCCTTGGCATAAAAGACGCTTAAATGATGAATGGGCACGAAAATGAAAACAAACATACCTGGTGCATAGCCTGCTCCTTCATGAGGCCGTCCTTTGAACCATCCTCTGGCAAAGCATCCTCGGATGTTGGCCACTCTGAGATCTTTTTGTCCACACCTCCACTGAGGACGTGCTTGCCATTCGCAGAGAACGTGACACAGTTCACCTCCACAGGGTGCTTGAATATGGCGACGTTTCGTCGATCTGAGAGTCGCCAGAGGCGGACGCGGTTGTCATGGGATGCGGAGGCAAGGAGAGTGCCGCTAGAGTCCACAGAAATGACATGGATATCCTTGAAATGGCCCTTCCAGGGATCACCGACCTGCTGCCAGGTCGATGCATCCCACTCTCGTATGGTGGGATCAGCCCCATTACCACCCGAGAGAAGCCGTGTGCCATCTGGAGTCCACGCGAGTGAATAGTTTAATCCTCCACTGATCGTCGTCATCAACTGAGTGGGAAATGCTGGTGGTGATGGGTAATTGTAACTGTAGTAACTGTTTCCAGTGTAATTTCGGTAAATTTGAATGTTGTGGTCCGTTGCAATCGCAAGAAGTGCATACGAATGCTGTGACCGTGGCGAATGCTGAACGCAGCGGACAGTTCCACCGCAATTGAGTGTATACTGCACCTGCCACGTTGATGTATCCCATAGCTTCGTGGTAGTGTCAGATGATCCACTAGCCAGTATCCTGACACTCGAAGAAAAGTCGAGTGATAATATCCAGCCGTCGTGGGTTTTACTGATTGTTTGGTTGAGTTCCCCAGTATCTGCATCCCAGACGATAAGCTCTCCGCTCTCATCGCCGCTAGCTATCCATTTCCCATCTCGTGAAACGGCCAATCCCCGCACTCGACTGCTATGCCCCTCCATCTTCTTCAACACTACACCTGTTTTCAAGTCCCACAGGCGAAGCATTCCATCATACGAGCCCGTAACCATGCGTTCGTCGTAACTATATTGGGGTTTGAAAACCACGATTGCGACCACGCGATCCTCGTGATCTTCAAATACTCGAATGGGTTTGATGTTTGGAATGAGCGCCGCCATTTTAAGTGGAGCAGCAGCACAATTGAGGGGGATGGCGTCTTGCTCGAAGTTGCAGAGGTGCGTATGATAGAGTGTTTTAAACCTGCTTCATAGCATTGCTCTCCACTAGACGCCAAAAACACGAGGCTATTATCACAAGTACCTTGCTTGACGATCTAAGCGAATGGGCTCATGCATCCAAGTTATGTCGCCGCAATGCTCCACATCAGTCAATGATCTTGATGGCAATTGTTTCAGGGATCCACGCAGCAGATAGGAAGACGACATACACGGTTCACCCGATTCACTTGATTGGCCATGTCCTCCAATTTTAATTAAGTCGCCATCCAAAGACGTAGTATTCCACCCGGTGACATGTTTGGCTTCTCTTCTCTGGAACATTCGTAGCGGAGATCCGAGGCTTCCTTTGATCTGCTCTGGTTGCTAGCATCATGGGTATGTGGGATTTGTCATTAGCACTGAAGATAATCAATCGTTTCAAACTCTGATTCAAGTCAGCTGAGCCTGTGATTGAACGTTGGATTCAAATTTTGGATTCGGGGTCTTGAATCGGCAACTCCAAGACACGTTGTTTGTCGGATTTCCGGTGGTTGAGGATGGCGATGGGTATGGCGATAGCCTTCTAGATGGACCCACCAGCGAAGTTCGTGTTTCCATTCTAGTACACGGAATTATACACGGAACCATCATGTATGTTGCGTGTAGGGCTCCTAACATTTGAATACACATTGCATACAATATGTGGTTCTCGTGCCATGGATGATCAAGCTTTCAGGCTTATGTCGTTCGAGGTTACTTTTGCACATAGAAGCTCTGGAGTTGTGGCAATACTGACTCGGATGACGAGCCGACTCCAGTGTTATATGTTTGGTACTGTTGACGTGATATTTGGCCCGACCATTCATGGATCTTGTTATTTGTCCAGTTCCTCAAGTAAACAGCGTTAGAGGGGGGGAAAATACAGTGTATCAATATGAAAGTAGCGATGAGACATTCAAATTACACATTGAACGAAACGAATGTCTCGAGCTTGACCAGTGCAAAATGAACAACATTCCACGGGAGATACTCGAAGATCATCTGAATCACGCAAGTTTGTCTTATGATAGGAAGAAAGTGCGCTGAGTATTGCAGATGGTGTATAACTGATATATAAGTGTAAAATTGTCAGTCATGGAGTATACAGCAGTGAATTGGGTCAACTGCGACCATGAGCACCACTACGCCAGCTGCTACTAGCATTTGTCGTGCCGTCCTGACGGGGTATATCAACATGCTCTAAGCACTATCGTGGAGGCATCCTCAGTCTGCCGTAAGACCAGCATGAAAGGTAGCACAGGAACGCCTTGCACCAATATACGTCTGGGAGTGAATCAATGTCGGACGACTCGGTATCCTGCGGCACTCTAGGTTGCTGTCCAGAAGAATGTTGGGCGTCGTCTACTGTCTTGTATTCCGGTAGCTTGGCAGCAGCCAGCCACTATAAAACACAAATTAGCGAAGCAATGTTAGATAAAAGGATGCAGGTTACAGTGACCTTGCGCCCTGGTGCGACTTCAACGACTGGTGGCCCATGGTTATGTTTTGGCACAAGGAACGAAAGGCGATGTCATAGAAACTGCGTGACTGGACCGTTCGAGGGCTCATTTCGAACTCTGAGCTTCATAGAGGCAATACACTGCTGTGCATTGTGTAGAACAAGGCTGGCTTGATAACGTTCTGAATATAGACACACGGATGATCACGTCTTATCATGGGCGTCAAAGGTGGTTCAAAAGTCCGCTCTAGAAAGCTATATTTGTATCCTTCATTGGGCGTCTAATGAGTCTCTCACTAACCACGACTAGCAGAGGTTATCGATCGTGAGTTACTCACTATGTGTCATGACGCTATTGTCTAACATTAGCAAACAGCTTTGAAGACATCATGGACGACTCGGACAGCATAGGCGCCTCCAGAACTGACGATAACGACTTCAGAGATCTTGTCGAAGAAGTATTCGACGAATATATCGTCAACGAGATACCAATTCGCCTAATTCATATCAGCAACGATGGCCAGGGGCTGAATTTCAAACTCGTGGACAGAAATTTCGTCAAGGAGCACTTCAAATCAGTCCCCGGCGAGATTTACAGAGAATTTTGCAACGAAAGGCTCGTGGACAGGGAGGGCCGTATCAGGGAGCGGATGAAGGAGACATTCAAATATGCTATCTTCTCCCATCGGTGGCTGTTCAGCGAGCCTTCGTATCAAGATATGCCGACGGAGCCAATGAAAGTCCAGGCTGAGCTCGAGCCTAAGTGGAAGAAGCTTCAAGAATTTTGTCGCAAAGCGAAGGTTGACCATGGTTGCGAATTTGCCTGGTCAGACACGTGCTGCATAGACAAAACAAGGAGCGCGGAGTTGGACGAATCCATCCGCTCCATGTTTCGCTGGTACAGAAATTCCCACATATGCATCGTACACCTGTCGGGGACGGAAGACCTTGCAGCTCTTGAAAGGCAGCAGAGGGGTGGAACAAAGATCGATGTTTGGTTCACAAGAGGATGGACACTTCAAGAGCTCCTGGCTCCATCGCAAATCAAGTTTTACGGAACGAACTGGCAGCCCCTCGTACCACTTCATGACTCCAAGAGCGACAGAGTTAGCGATATCATCATGCGAAAGATAGAGAAAATCACAAACATTCCTCTCAGAGATCTTAAATCGTTCAGTCCCGGCACAAATCGAGTGCCGGAAAAGATGTTGTGGGCCTCGAAGAGGAGAACGACCCGCGTCGAAGATATTGCATATTGCCTCATTGGAATATTTGATGTCAGCCTCATGATCGCGTACGGGGAGGGGAACAGGGCCTTCTTTCGTCTGATGGAGGAGATAATGAAGAGATATGACAAATGGGACGTGTTTCTCTGGAGTGGCAAATGCTCCCACTACAACGCAGCCCTTCCTTACGATCCACGTTGTTATCCTGTGGGATATCAGGAAACGCTTGTAAAGCGCCGACACGAAGCAGACAATGAGGAGGAATGGAATACAGCAAACTACGGCATTGGAGATAGGCTTTTTGCCTTGACTAACCATGGCCTCCGAATCAAGGTGCTCTGTCTGTCTGTTGATCTACAACAGACAAGAGACGAGCCGCATAATTCGAGATACCTTACCTTCAGGCATCCGGAGTTCAATCATGATGTGGTGGTGAGGCACATTGGCACAAAGCGTGAACCTCATACCACCTGGGCAATAGCTGTCCTCGACTACTGGGCTAACGGCAGTGGGAGGGGTTTCATCGACAGGGTCAGAAGAGAGCCATTTACCGCGTTTCTTTTGTCCATGGATAAATTACATGCTCCAGATGCAAGGTGGAAGAAGGAGATGACAGAGGAAGTTATTAGAATTCGACCAGCCAACCACTACGAGAATACTTTGGTCGAGTTGTACCTTTAATGACGTGGCTTTGCTATCAAGACTTGTGCTCAGCTCGTGTTCTTGAGAGTAGAAATTAATTTTTGGAGTAGTAGCGGAGTTTGAATGAGGTACTACAGACCCGGTGGGCCCGGGTGCTTAGGCCCTCGATCTACTACGAACAAGTCCAGACTAGACATAGCTTTGCCGTTTTTAGCATTAATGCTCCAACAGGATTTGAATCTTTTGATGAGTCCGTTCTTTGACGTCTGATCTGCTCCGCCACAGTGAGTACAGCCATCTTAGCTACATCTCACGGGTGCGGGAAGGGCCCTTATATTGGAGTCTTATTCCCTAGTAATAATACAAGGCTGAATACGCACTGGCAGCTTGTTCAAGCAATTGCCAAAGGTCCTCCTACCAGTGGTGGTGTTGACAATCCACTAATCACTATAGTTGTCGACCAATCTTCCTATCATCGCTTTTATGATCCAATCAATGATAACTGAACGTTCTGCCCCGGTTTTCAGCCGATCTTGAAGTGTATTTCATCAGTGAGCTATACATATAAGATATTCGCACGAACTCACAGAGCTCACAACTCCTCCTTGTTTCGCAGCTGGTCATGCAGAACCAGGTAATCAAGCAAACCCCGCGACAACAAATCCCTTCATTCGAAATCGGCTCACAAAAGACTCCAGGTCCACTTGTGTCCATTGCACAGGTGAAGGGGCACCTCCGCCTCCTGAGAGCGTTCCATAACCTGAGAGTTACAGTAGAAGAATGCAAGGACCGCAGAATTCCTACCTTTGCAGCACAAATGGATAGAGATAGCCGGTGGATATGGTTTATTACCCTGGCTATTGACAGGTTCGTCAAATCACTTCCATTCAATGACGTACACACCATGACGCCTAAACAAGATTTGAGCGATGGGTCAAATCTCTGACATTCGTACCTCTTGAGAAATTCATCAACAAACAGTTCCCACCCATCGACGTGTGGATGGTTTGGCATGCCTACCTATTGAATCCATGGTAAGTTTTGTACTATTGAACCCTGCGGAGTTAATGATTCGAAATTTCACCTTGGGCAGTTGGTACGAAGAAGACTGTGAACGTCTCCTCATTCTTCAACAACTCCGCCTCCTCAACGTGTCCGTCGTTTCTTCTGTCAGTTCTTGCTCATAGTTATTTTCCTGGACACAAGCTGACCATGTGTAGATCGATGTTGGAAAGCTTGCAAGGAATCAGCCATCTGCCTCGCGGATTGCTGCATGGCACAAACAAACTGGGTCATTCTTCGATCCATTTGATGCCATGGAAGAATTAACTCATAAACAAATGGAGTGTCCTCGGTGTCGGACCCGTGTCTTCGTTCGTGAGTCAAGAGGTCCATTCATCTCTTCTAAGGCTGATATATTTTACAGCGTTTGTCAATGATAACGGAACCGGGTACTCTGAGCAGCAGTTTAGTGCTATGTGTCCTCTCCCAGGATGTAGACTGAAGATCACAAAAGGGAATCTAGCCATGGCGAAGTTCGTGCGAGATCTGACAGAGTCAGAGGATGGCAGCGAAAATTTCATGGCGTTGAGTGGCAGTATATTCAACACGATTTCTATTGCTGATAATATTACAGTGGAACTCTATTCTTCGGTAACGGAAAGCGAGATCCTCGACGGGCGAAGGCAATCAAAGATCAACTAACTCAGTCATCACAGTTTTGTCGTAAGAGTCTTCAGTCTTCTGACCAGCGCATTGCTCGACTGGACTGGGAGAAAGAAATTAAGGAAAGCATTGGTTATTCCTTGCCACTGTTAAAAGACGCTATAGCGATAGTCCTCAGAGATCAGCCAGAGGCGACGTATGTGACCCCATGACGTTCTAGAAATGATTTCTCACCCCAGTTAAGGAGGACCAGAATTTTGAGTGCATACGAAGACGACAGTCCGTTTTCTATCAATCTCATTTCTGCGGTGAGTTGCAATGTTTCCGCTTTTTTCTATATCTATAATAATTTTCGGCTAGGTGCTGCGACAGGGGATATTTACCAAAAGGATTGATGAATTAGGCTGGCTCAGACCCGGCACATTCAAGGAAGGTAATAGATCGCAACTCCTGGAACATGCTCTGCTCCGATATCACTGGTAAGGATAAATATATCGTGAGGTCGCAATGACAGCCTGATCATTACTGTAGCTTCCTCGATTTAGCAGCAGCCTCACCGAATCTCATGTCTGTCCCTACACTTGACATTGACCTGATTTGGCACAGTCATCAGCTGATGGGTGGCAGGTACGGTGTTGATTGCGATATATACATAGGCCGTCGTGTTGACCAGTGAGTGAAGTCTCCTAGTTCATAGCTGAGATAATCTAATATATTTTGCAGTCCACTCACCACAGAAGAAGCCATTCTTTCAAGAGCCCTTGATGATACATGTCGTGCATGGCAGGTAATTTGAGATATGCTTGTGGTTGAGAATCTTTACTCATCAAGCCTCAGTCGCGGTTTCACATCCCATACATGCAGTGCGGTTGCCCTGCACCAGACAAAACTTTATTTGAGAGGCTCGTGCGCATCTTCCGACAGTGCACGGGAACCCGAACGCGTCTTCAAGCGTCCCTTCATCCTGACCATCTACCCGCCACGCATCCCAGTCTTCACAATGCTGTCCTCGACCCAGAACGTGGAGCCTTTGGATCTTTTGGCAAACCAGCTCATCCGCAACGAGACGAGAAAGACCTTGTCAGACTCTCTCGCCCATTGGGGGTTCGGAAGAAGCGTTCGAGAAAAACTGATACGGAACTTCCACCACAGTTGGAGGGCTTTGTTTTCGAGAAGATTACTGAGGAACCTGTATCCCTTGGTCCCGCACCTCCATACGTCGGCTATGAGTCGGACGCTCGTCGTATGAACACTTGTCATATGCATGTCATTTGACACATACTTATGATCTAAATTATCACTTGGTTTATTTGCGCAGCTGTCGATACTTCATGTAAATAACTTTCTCATCTGTTCACCGGTTCTCTGATGTCTGTGACTGACCATGCAAAACTATCTTTTACCCGGGACAAAGAATGAGAAAGCACAATAAATGTCTACAATTTGTGTGAAATGCGGTGGAATTCACGTCAAGTCTGATCTTGGAAGGTGGAAAGCACACGTAGGAGGACCATACGGTTTCCTGGGACTCCTGGGACTGACAGCCGCACAGGAAGTTGTCTTACTGTATTTGGCACCAACCTTTGGGTTCTAACATGTACAAACAGTCGGTTACCTATTGCAGATGTACGGTGGAAGGTACGCAGTACTAGTTGGTCTTGGTAATTTCAATTGTACCCTGCGCTTGTAAACCTACTGGGAGCTTTTCCATGGCTGACCCAACTCCTATAGATGGTCCAGTGCTTGACCCTTGGCAGGATCCCCATCCTTTTTCTTCCGACGTCTTACCGAACGGATCCAATCCTTCCGAGTCCGTAGATTCAGAGAATGCAACGCAGGAGTCTGAAAGTGGCGAAGATGAGTCTGAAAGCCGAGAGAAAGATGACGATGAGGAAGGGGAGGAAGACGATGTGGAAGGGGAAGGGGAAGAAGACGAAGGTGAAGATGAAGATGACTACGAAGATGAAGAGGAGGATGAACCAACTCTAAAATATGAACGTATGGGCGGGGCGGTTAACGACCTTCTCAAGAAGGATTCGGCTTCTGCTCTTGCAGTCTCAAATAAACTTTTGGTAAAGCTTTCACTCTAATGTGAGTAGGAAAGGAGTGACCCCCGAATCATCTAGGCACTTGGAACTCACAATGGTATTGTTCACATTGTCGATTTAACGGGTAAACGCATCAAGTCGTACAAACCTCATCAAGCTTCGGTGAGCGATGCAGAGTTTGACAGTACTGCAGACTTCGTAGCGACTGCCTCCATCGATGGTAGGGATAGGTTCCGCCTCGACCATTAAATTCTAATAACTTTACGATTAGGACAGGTCGTTATTCAATCCCTCTCGACCCATGAGTCATACATGTCCGACATGAAGCGACCAATTCGCACTGTAGCACTTGAACCTAATTTTGCCAAGAAAAGTACGCGATCGTTTGTGTGTGGAGGCATGGCCGGGACACTGGTACTGAGAGAAAAGGGCTGGCTGGGGCATAAGGAAACAGTCCTTCACTCCGGTGAAGGTCCAGTATGGCATGTACGATGGAGGGAACGCTTAATTGCGTGGGCGAATGACTCGGTGGGTTCGCATTGATATTTCCTGACCATATTGACACTGTCCATGAGCAGGGAGTCAGGATCTACGACACTCAGTCCCAGATGCTGCATCACATTCATCGAGCGCCCCGCTGATAGCCCTCGTGCGGACCTTTTCAAGTGCACTTTATATTGGCAAGATGATACGACTCTCCTGATAGCATGGGCGGACCACATCAAGATCGCGCACATTCGAGAACGCCCGTCTACTGCGACCGCATCAGGCAGTGATTAATCAACCTCCTTTCATTGTTGAGATCACCGCTGCATTCCAACTTGACTGCATGGTCTCAGGGATTGTATCCAACTCACTCTCGATGCCAAGATCCCTGGACACATCCTCTGTGCAGGATGAAACGCTACCATCATTTCTGATATTGGCCTACCAAACACCAGATACATATGGCGACGAAATGACGGAAGATCGTACAAGACAAGCTCGTAAAACAGCTGAGCGCCCCGAACTACGGATAATCACTCATACAGGTGAAGAGCTATCGGCCGATGCGCTTGGTGTCACGAATTATCAAGCATGGAGTTGCAACGACTATGTGATGGCGGAGGTCGACGGGCCGAATTTGCCAGGGACATCAGGAAGATGCCATATCGTAATTAGCCCCAAAGATATTGTCATCGTGCGGCCCAGGGATAGGAAGGACCATGTCTTGTGGCTCGTAGAACATCAGCGATATGACGAAGCTCTCGAAGAAGTAGAGAAGCTTGACGAGGACGAATGCTCTGCGGAAGGCGATCAGTCTGAGATCAGTCCTATCGCTATAGGAGAGCGATATATCAGGCATTTGGTGGCTGAAGGTAGAACCACGTTTGATACCGTTTCTGCAGATATCAGCTTAAAATTTGTCAGGCAACTTTGCTAAGGCTGCAAGTCTTTGCCCGAGAGTCTGTAGCGCAGACATCGAACGCTGGGAAAATTGGATATTTGTTTTTGCTCAAAGTCAGCAACTACAGGTATGTTGACTCTGTGATGCCATATACACGCATTTCAGCTGCATTTTTTTTCGCAGACAATCATTCCTCATGTCCCAACGGAGGCACCTCAACTTGACCATCTGGTCTATGAGATGATTCTTGCACACTTCCTTGTGCATGATAGGCAGGTATATCATGTGAATGTCTTAGGCGTAATTAGGACTGATTCGTTGCATAGTCTCTAATGCGCACTATCAAGGAGTGGCCGAAGTCGATTTATGATATATCCACTGTCATTGTTGCGGTGCAAGCAGAACTTGAGCGATCGCCATCATCATCAACCTCAAAAAGCTTACCTGCACCAGACGCTGTGATTCTCATGGAATGTTTGGCTGAGCTGTTTGTGTAACCCATGGAGTTGTTCTACTCTCGCTGATCTCGACTCCAGTTATACTGCTAATCGACAATACGGAAAAGCCTTGCCGTTTTTCCTCCGCCTCAGACGACAGAATGTATTTGAACTCATCCGGGAGCATAATCTATTCACCGATGTGAAGGATCAAGTACTCTTGTTGATCGAGTTTGATCAAGAGCTCCTTGAAAGGCGAAAACAAGAAGGCGCAGAAGGCGAAGCAACTTCCAGCGAAGCAATCGCCCTACTGGTGGATCATATCCATTCTATACCTGTGCGATCATCACGTTCTCTTGTCTTCTAACTTGTCTGAACAGTTGAACAGATCGCTCGCGTGGTTCAGCAGCTCCGTGATCGCCCCTTTTATCTCTTCCTTTACCTAGATGCTTTATTTAAAAAGGACTCTCAGCTTGGGTCTGAGTTCGCTGATCTTCAGGTAAGCCCATCACCGGATAAGAGTTTAAATGCCTGTTGTATTGATGTACATTTACAGGTTACGTTGTTCGCCGAGTTTGCAACTCACCGCCTGATTGACTATCTTCGGGCAAGCACTTCATACAATCTTGAGGCGGTTTGTCGTTTACTTAAACTGGTCACATCATTGTCTAACATCCTTCAGGCGTACAATGAGTGCAAGAACAGAGATCTTGTAAATGAGATGGTGTTCTTACTTGGTCGCATGGGCAACAACAAGAAGGCGTTAACGCTCATCATTGAGCGCCTAGGCGACGTGCATATGGTACGTGATTGGGCAGATGAAGGCCAACAAAGAGTAACATTCAGCAAATATAGGCGATCGAATTCGCTAAAGAACAAAGTGATGACGACCTTTGGGAGGACCTTCTCAAATATTCTGAAACACGTCCGAGTAAGTGACATGAAAAACAATTTTTGCATCGTTCTCACTCCCTGTAGCTTTCATTCGCGGTCTACTGGAAAATGTCGGAGCTGAAATTGACCCCATCCGTTTGATTCGTCGGATCAAGAACGGGTTGGAAATTCCTGGCCTCAAGGAAGCATTGATCAAGATTCTCCATGACTTCCATCTTCAGATCTCCCTTATGGAGGGATGCCAAACGATTCTCAATGGCGACAGCTCCGACCTTGCTAAGACGCGCTCAAAGGGTCAGAATAGCGGATTCTTCATGAAATGTGCGAAAATTTGCTATTGTACTCTTTCGTCGTTGATAAGCTCGACACCTATTCTAGCAAGAACGATGTGTGTGCTATGTACGCAACCCCTACAACGATCACCACAAGACCTTCTTTTGCTATTCTTGTGTCATCACGTAGTTCATGCCAGCTGCGTGGATAGCATGTCAGACATTTACAACGAGGAACCCAGTGAAAGCATAAATGTGCTCGTCAGTGGAGTAAGCGCTAAGATTGCTTTGTGAGTTCACACATCTACATTCATCCACTTTCTCATCTTGTTCGGTAGCGCTTCTGTAGTACGGGCTAAAATCCCTCAGGGTTGTCCTGTTTGTTACCGGAGGAGCGAAGGGAATCTAATGTAACTACAGATTTCGTCCCTCTTTTGCATGATTTACTATATACCTTGCATTCACGCAATCATCTCTTCTGGATACCATTTGAATTCACATTGAGCGCGTTCAACTGCTGGTGGGAGTACTAAATCTCTTTCTCGACATACACACACTTCGTTAGGACTTTCGATCAAGATCAAAGCAAAGCAACTTAGCGATTGCGGTTGGTCATATCATCTAGGTCAAGTTTGTGTTTACATAAATTCGAATGCTTGCGATGGTTTTGCAACGGGCTTGGGAATATCATATTGAATTCCACCTGCTTAATCTCTGAATAGGTCACAACTTTCATTCTTGATCTAGTGTCTGAACTTCCAAATCCTGTATGGCGTACTCTCACCCTTATTCTGTTGTAACCCATCCTCAAGGAGTAGCATAATGCCGTTGAACAAATCTTGTAGGCATTTTTTTGTTGCTCACCATCAAACAGGAAGGTATATAAAAAATCGGCCGGCACGACTCAGTCCCCAACCTCGAACGACAGCGCTGTAGCAATGATAAATCTGGCACGCCGCATGTACTTGAGGGGGAATACGAAGACTTGAGATAGCAACGCTCGCGAAAAGGAAGGTTGTGGCAGAGATTGAGTATTAGAAATGGTTAGTACACCTGGAAGAGTGCGAAACATGAGCCATCGATATTCCATGTCTCGTAAGCTGGAATAATCTTTCCTATACATGACATTATAAAACTGTTTCACTCAATGTATGAGAGGGGAGTGTATCCACGTTGGAACTGGCATGCGCTGTACAAATCACATCCCAGTCATCGCTCCTGTTCTAGTACCTGAATCTCCATATCCTGCGCAACATTTACAACCTCCTCATCTTCGTCCTGTTGTGACATATCGTGCGGGAGTATCAAGTTCAGCACCAAGGCAACGATGCCAGATATCAAAACTGTCGTCAATGGTATTAGTATCATGTGACAGTGACAATGCGTGGAACTTGTCGACTGACAAGGCGTGCTTAGCAGAATCGTGATGCTCTCAAACAACCCTTGGAGACCTTTATTTGGGTTACTCACACCATCAAATAGATAAGTAAAGATAGTGGGCACAAGAAGGTCCCCAACGCCGAATGACAACGCTGCAGCGAGGATGAATCTGTCGCGCCGCGTGTACTGGATGTAAGAAAGAACGCGGAGGCCTGAGACGGCGACGCTCGCGAAGAGGAACGTCGTCACACCGCCCAAGACGGGGTTGGGTACTGTGAATGGTAAGTGCCTGAAAGAGAACCAGCAAGGCATAAGCATACTTGCGAGGAAGAACCCTGAGATCTTTCCGAGGCAACCGAAGATGATAAGGAAGGCACAACACCATCTTCCTGCGGTGCGGTTTGCACAGCGAGTGACAGAAATGACACCATTATTCTACGCCAACCACAAGATAAGACCAGGCACCGCAATGATAGAAGATTTTGTCAAACCTGCGCAAATACAGATAGAGGAGTGACAGTAAACAAGGCAGAAATAAATCCACCTATCCCATCGCTCTGCAACATAAATCAGAACATCATTGGTAGCCATATCCATGGAAAGACAAACCAGAACACCGCCTTGTATTCTTGAATCGAAATCCTCTCCCACGACAGGGATACGGGACACTTCCGAAGACGCGGTTATGTCGCCAATTGCTTCCATTGTCGTTGATACTGACGTCGACGTTTCATTTAGCCAGCCTGTCCCCAAGAAAGAGAGAGATGCCGACCGTAAACTGCTAGCATAGGTAAAATAGCTGGCGGGTACACATTAATCTTGAATCGATATACCCTACCCAACAGTCAGACTTCGTATCAACATGCAAGAATGGATATTTTACCATAAGAATGTGATTGCAGGTGCACTCGTGATGGTACTTCCGTCGATGTACCCGGCTGCGCCGGCAACGATACATCCTACTGCAAGCCCAACGATGATACTCGCATTCTTGAGGAACGGAGAGCCGAAGAGTTCCGTGAGAATGATGCTCACGAAAGAGAGGAACCCGAGACCTATGAACTGAGGAGAGCCCCATCTGTCATAGAACGTCATTAATGTACTAGATTCAAATGCTTCAGACATACGGTAATGCATGGGGAGACCCAACTGTCGGGCATAGCTGATAGATCCCGCTGGTCGGGCGCGCCTGACATCCATTCGAACCACCACCCCAGTCAAGGATGCCAGAGGACCCGACGAGAGATGATCCAATCATGAGGATACAGGTGCCTGAGATAAGTGAGCCTTGAGGCACAAAGCCAAGCCGTAATCATACCAGTGACTATGGGAGGAAAAATCCGTTGCAAAATCCGCGGATGAAGAAATGACAATCCGATCTCTAAAAATGCGCAAATAAGGGAAGTGCCTTCATAACGTCAGTAACCTAGATATTACCGGGAACTCGAGATCGACTTACCAAGTATCATCCCATAGGCATCTGGGCACGGTCCTCGCGTGACAGTCCCATCCGCAGCAGTTGTCGAAGGACATGTGCCGTTGGCGTACATCATGTTGAAAATCTGCGTTTATCCACCTTATCAAATAATGTTACGGGTATAAAATACAGGCGCGCATACGGCACTTGCTGTACTGAGCGTAGCAAAACTCGTCCCGACCACGGACAAAAGCCCAGTACCAAGATAATAGCGGCCCCATAACTTTATGCGTGACATTTGTACTAAACTTAGAATGCCTGATTCCTAAATCAGTTCTGCGTGAGTGTAAGTTCGTTATGGCCAGACATACCAGACCCGATGAGTGAAGCTGATATCATGTAGGATGATGTGTCAGAGTCCAGCATCAAGGCACTGGCAAGAATGATGGGCGGTGCAATGAGACCTGCAAGCATCGCAAGTGCATGCTGCAACCCGCTTGTTATAGCCAGTACAAGCGGGAGTTCGTCGTTGATGCCATAAAATGGCGGTTGTTTGCTTCTAGCTGTAGGAAGAGATGGCAGACAGAGCCATCGATAATCATAGTCACCAAACCAGCCATGTTTCGTAGTCACTTTCTGTCGTACGACGCTGAATACAGAGCGTGGGTTGGGATTGGCAGCAGGTGACGGCTGTTCTTTGGTCACTGAAGACGTGGAAACACGCGACATAGTGGTGCTATGCCTGGAGAACTCAAGGCAGAGACGTCTGAGTGCTGGTCAGGGTGTGCAGGAGAATCCAGGGAAGGATTCGGCCCCAGCGGACCTAGCTTTTTGTTATCTTTACGCAAGCACGTGTGGCAGGCACGGGCGCCTAATCAGAGGAAGTCAAATTTGATAAGGGCTACGTTATTGAGGGATATCTGAAATGGCCGAACCGTTTGGGATGAAAGGTGCCGATAGGCGTCCCCAGACTTAGCCTGTACTTTGGCCCGGACTTCGTCCCACACATGAGGAGCAACGCAGAGGATTGAATGATACGCCTGCTCACTGTCCTTGGCAAGACAAGGGCTACGTTATCGAGGAAATAGCCGGTCTGGGACGAAAGATGCCGAGAGCGTCCCAGACTTCGTCCCACGCACAGTGAGGTGTGACGCAGCTGAGGATTGAAATTCATTGAATGACACGCCTGGTTATTGTCTGCAGTGCCATGGACCTTGGGAGCATTTTAACAGTACACAACGCTTCAAACCGTGGATGCATCCCACTTGTACAGTAGTTATAATATATTTGATGGATCAATAAACCATTATAGACCGTGTTGGTTGTTCTAACCACACGGTGGGGACATACCTTTGCCGTATCGGCTTGCCCGAGTATCCGTCCAGGTTGCCGCAACAGATCGAAAGAGGAATAGCGACGCCGCAGCCTGCACAGATGATCAAGATTCAAGAACGATGCAAATTGCCGATGAATGCAGAGAGAAGCGAGAAGCTGAAAAAAAAGGCAACATCTGCCTGTTGCGACGAAGACATCACGATGGTCGTTACCAGCCAGGCAGCGAGAAAAGGATATAGAGCTGGCGGGCACAGAAGAAAGTATGCGACAGGCGCGAAAAGTAAGGTTCACCAAATCTGTGACGTTATCCACCCAATAAGGGAATCGAAATAATGTTGCACAGCCACGACGGACCACGTTAACCCATACCTTCAGCGCTCCAACTTTCTCAACGCTGTTCACCGCGACGAGCAACCATGGCGAGAGCGCAGGATAGTTTCACTTTTACGGTCGGAAAGCTCGGTAAGTAACTGGCACTTGACGCGTCCGTAAGGCTCATAATATTGACTCCAGATGCGGGCATGGCTGTAAGTCCAACTTGAAGTTCAGTACGTCACCCAAATATGAAGTGACGCGGTGCAGATCCTTTTGGGCGACCGAGCTCACCTAATAGAGTTTCCATCGGTACTACTTCCTCCTGGAGCAACAACTGGGTCTATAGTCAACATCTCGGTCCACCGGAACGTGGCTCAGGAGCGAAAGCGAGACCATGAGTTCTGGTCGCTTCAAGAAGATATCTTAGAGACGTTTGGAAGTCAGTCGCCTGAGAATCCGCAGCTCGAGGTCAGTAGCACCCACTTTATTTCAGTCTGCCTCGCTCACACCACTATTTTCAGGTCCGTAATGTCACCCAAACCTCTGTCACGCTCGAATGGCCCCCCATTAAGCTCGCTTCCGCGAAGCTACGTTCCCTCGATATATACAAGAACAGCCAACGACTTGCCTCGATTCCTAATGCAGTCACCAACTTCTCCACAAAACTTTCTGGACTCTCGGTAGACACCCAATACACTTTCCAGCTCCTCCTCCGTACTTCCGCAGGAACCTATCCCTCGAACCTCATCCGCGTGCGCACGCACACGATCGCAGATACAAGTGGAATCTCAGTTTGCTTCGCAAATGTCACGGACAGCGTGTTGCTGGAAAACGCAAAGCTTGCTTTGAAAGAGATGCGCGCAAAGTGGAGCGACAAAATTCAAATCGACACGACACATTTCGTGTGCACTACTCCTGCAGTCACGCCTGCAGGTGCGCAACCAGCCGGTGGTGTTGCAGCAGCTCCAGGTGCAGAATATCAACGTGCCTTGCAGTTGAGCATCCCTGTGGTTCAACCGCAGTGGATTTTAGCGTGCCACAGCGAAAAAAAGTACGTATATTCTATTTATGACACTTCTCGTTGACAGTTTTTTTTTGTTCAGAATGGTGCCGATCTCGGGCTACTATCTCGGCGTCACACCGCCCAATTCTGGCTACTCCCAGCGTCCCCAATCGATGTCACAAGCCTCTCTCCCCAGCTCCAGCGCAGCTCACAAAAACTCTGCATCGCGTCAAAGTCTCCCATCAATACGCCGTCCTACACCACCGTCGGCAACCGCGCAAGGGCCGATCAATGAGGAAGAGGACGAAGAGGAACAACCGCCCCCACCGAAACCGTCGTCCTCTGAAATGAAGCACAAGAGCAACGGTACGATGGATAGGAATTTCAAATTTCCAACGTCACCAACTCAAGCTCAAGTAGTTCCGCCCGTACCCTCTCTTCCTACGCAAGCACGTGCTCCGAAGCCCGAGCATGAAGCAGGTTCGAACCGTACGAATGAAGATGACATGACGCCCGTGGCGGTAGTCGTGCCATCTAGTGTAGAAGTTCCTCCCCCTCCTCCGGTGGAGAAAGAGATCCGGAAGAGTTTCGTAGAATCTGAGGATGGTGAGGAGGAAGTTGGCGAGACGGTGGAAATTGATTTGCGGTGAGAATGACAGACTGTTCGTCGTTTACTTAATTTGTTGTGTAGCCTTTGGTGTTTGGAACTTGTATTTTCGCTGCGCTGTGTGCTGAAATGTTCGACGTTTCAGCATATAAATACCATTGATATTTCGTTCTGCATATCATTGTTTCCAGAAAATGCAGAAGAGTCTAATGACGATGGCGAACAGGAAGCGGGATGACGTCACAGTACCACCTCCCAAACCTATCAGATCTAGAATTCGCTGATGCAGTTCCTGTTCCTAGCGTCCCAGCACGACGCAATTGAATTGAAATAGGTAGGCTACTTCTACGAAAAGACTCATTATGTAACATTTTCAATATACCAATCTACTGAATCGCAGAAGCCCATGGAAGATAGAATGAAGCACCCTTAGGCCTTAACGTTTAACCTTGATCGCATACTCATCGATGACGCATAGCTATATGCGTTGGACTCCTATCCTGTTCCTTCCCAGCGGATGAGATTATACCTTTTCTTGGTTTTCGGATGGGCGGGGAATGCAGGGACGTCTGGTTTCATGAGTCTGGGATGAATGGTGGAGCCTGATGGAGGTTGTTGGTATGAAAGTGGACGCTTGTAGACGTGTCTTAAGATGGTGAACTCGTTCTAGTTGTGTCATATGGATGGGGAGAAGATTTACCGATTCCAAATAATCAGATTTCGTGTGGGTAGAGATACAAGATTGCCTCCTAGCAGTCTAGTACAGCGATTAAGTTAGGATGAATACAGATTGTGAATCTCCAGATATAGTGGGATAGTAGCGTACAAAAGAAGGTTATATCGGCTGCCAGCGCCGTACTCGTCAGTGTCATCGCACTGCCTTAAACAAGGGACACATCAGAATAAAGTAGTATAATATGTCATTCATCCCCTCCCGGTCCCATCCACGCCACATACACCTGACCTGACATGCAAGATTTGACTCATACACCCACCCTTCTCTTCTTCACCTCCCTCCCCCTGGTTCGTCCCCTGTCATCACTATCCGACTCACATATACCCTTCTCTCTCTCCTTTTCCCTCCCGCGCTCACGCAGTACACGCACAGAACCGCCTCTCACGATCATTCTCGTGCGCGAAAGACTACGCTCTTCCCGTGCTGCGCTCCGTGTACGTGGTTTACTCTTATCGTCAGCAAGAGGGCGCGTTTTGTCGTCTGCAGTAAGGTGGGTCTTTTGTTCGTCTACAGTAGAGCGTGTTCTTGTGCGTTCTCGAGTAGGACGGATGGGGATGTCTGGTTGTGGGTCGGATTCGGATTCGGCATCTACGGTTGGTGATGCGACGTGGGATTTGTGGAGGTTAGATTTAGGTCTCGGATGGACGAGGGTAACTGAGGATATGAATGAGCCGGATTTGGAGAGGGGTTTGGGTGTAGGCCTGGGCGAGGATGCTTTTGAAGTGGGCTTGGGAGTTGACTTGGGTGAAGCATCGGCATTTGCTTTTGCGATTGCCTTGGCTTTGTCTTTCTTCCTTATGCTGGCACTCAGGTCACTAGAGACGGATACGCTCCGCTTGCGTTTACGGCCGTGACATCCCGTCGCAGCGCAAGAGAATAGTTTATCATCGTGGATGGTAGAATCTGCGCGGAAACGCGCACGTCTGGTGTCTGTCTATATCTGAAATCAGTCTTTGAATTGTAAAGCACGATATAATACTCACTGTGTGTCTTCCCTCATAACACCACCCATCCGGAGGACCCATATCTCCCGTCCCTTCGACACTACTTCCACAGCAGCACCACAGGGTCTCATACGCAGCACGATCGACGAGCGCGCTTTCATCGTCATGTGGAATGCGGCAAGACGTGTCTGTATTTGAAAGTTCAAAGAAAGAGGAGTGGCAGCGCACGCAATGGAGTTGTGGTGGCGGGGAGAGTTCGTGGAAAAATTGGGTAAGGGCAGTGAGTGTACGTGGGGAGGGGGGTATCAGTGGGGGATCAGAGGTCGGGGAGAGGTGGGCGAGGGTGTATGTGTGTAGGGTCTGGGGAGGGACAGAGCGTACGAGGTCATACAAGACGGTTGGGTCTGTCACCTCCGGCTCGGGCTCTGTCTCGGTAGTGGGTGGTGGTGTGGGCGAGAGGGCTAGTGGTGAGTCCGTGTGTGAAAGTGAGGGAGAGGGTGTATGTAGTTGTGCGTTGGGTAATGAATCGGGCTTGCGAGTGAAAAGACTGAAGACCATCGTATAGAACGTTGATCTGAGTCTTTCGGTTAAAATACTTAGGTGGTAGATAATGAAACAAAAGAAGGACGGTAGAAACGATATCTAGACAATATAATCTGCTCCTCGAGGTCAACGCGTGCAGCACACGGGCCACGGCCTGTACACCAAACAATGACAAATATAGCTTGTACCATGCTGTCTGAAACGTGTTTTCTTGCAGAAACTCTATAGGATCACACGATGTGAGACCAGCTGCAATGATTTCCCTTCTGCATCAATGGCTGTGTTTCAAATCCTCGTTGACTCTATAATACCTCAGGTCCCAACTTCTCCCTTGTCCCTCGTCTTTACCTCAGCTGAGCGACGGCCGTTTCAGATATCGGCATTACCGCAGAGATCGCCAAACACCACAATTGCAAACTTTTTGCTGAACATGTAATTGAAAGTGTTCTCATACGGCGGTCCTTAAGCGTGATCGTTTGATTAACCCATATCACACTACACGCTCAAGTGCCGCTGTTATGACCCCGAGCAGTTTTTTTTCCTATTCACGCTACTTTGTCCGCCCTCTCGATCCATTCCTCACGAGTACTTGTCGCTTCCTTTCTCAAATCCATGCTTACATGAATACCTCAGGCTCTCGCTGGTGAAGTGGGCAAGTTGCATTCGACAGTCTACCCAAGTCACTAACGCTAAACCTCTCATTCCTACCCGTAGCTCTCGCGTCCCTGAACATCTCATTTGCATTGGGTGTGTGCGGCTTATGGCGTATTACCTCCAAGGTCAAATGAATTTGAGGTCCTGCGAATAAATGTGTGGGGTCGAGACTTGGGATGTATTTTAACTCGCTAGCGTGAGCGACGCACATGCCATATTTGTTATGACGCAGGCCCGCTGTCCACCATTTTCACCTTATTAACAGTCCTATCAAGGACATTCTCATTCGTTGATTCCCTCCGTTCCCTCCTTGCACGCTCAAGTGCCAGCTATTGATACGACTGCGTCCTCTCATGATGACTTATTGCAAATATATTCAGGGTACCAGAAGAACCTTCACCGTCGACCAGTATCAGCCTTTATGACGTGTAAGTCTCTCTCACCACACTCACCCATGTCTCACATACCTTTATGTAGAATGATGGTATAGCAAAGGTGAGGGTTATTATACGCGGATGAACCCAACTTCATCCGAACTTGCAGCACGAATAAACTTATGCTCCGAACCAGCTCCAGCAGCCAAAGTGCTCTCGAGTAAGTTATCCATCTTCAATACGCCTATCAATATTGATGTGAGGGCTATTGACAGGTCGCGTATTGCTCTTCCGTATGTCCTTGGCCAGTGAGAGTTTCGCTGGCAATGACTCAGGCCATGGCTTCGCCATCAGCGAGGCCTGCTGCTACAGCAACCTACATAATCAGAACGTGCACAACGGTCCGACGAACTTCACGACGCTAGAGCCAAAGGAGGTGCTATGGCTGGACCTGTGCTGAACACGGCGAAAATCATTCGAGACGAGGGGCACGCAAGTGACAAGTTGAAGACAATGTTCATCAGTTTTTTCGAGACACGGCACGAGAACTACATATGGCATGTGGTCATGCGTATTTATGTTGGGAAGCCTAAATGCAACATACATATAGAATTGCGTGTATTAGAACGGAAACACGAACTGGTGGGCCCATCTAGAAGGTCATCGCCATACCAACTGCCATCCTCAATCACTGGAAATCTGATAAACAACAAGTCTTGGAGTTGCCAATCCAAAACATCGAATCCAAAATAATACAACGTTCATTCACAGCTGACTTGAATCAGAGTTTGAAACGATTGATTATCTTCAATTCTAATTGGCAAATCATACATCCATGATGCTAACAACCCCAACAACCAGAGCAGATCAAAGGAAGCCTCGGATCTCCGCTACGAATGTTCCAGGGAACAGAAGCTCGACATGTCACCGGGTGGTTAATACTACGTCTTTGGGTGACGGTCTAATTAAAATTCGGGGGCATGGTCAATCAGGCGAATTGGGTGAACCGTGTATGTCTTCTTCCTATCTGTCGCATGGACCCCTGAAACAATTGCGACCAGGCCCATTGACTGATGTGGAACATTGCGGCGACACGACTTGGACCCGCGAGCCTATTTGTTTAGATTGGCAAGCAGGGTACTTATGATAACCCCTTCATGTTTTGGGCGTCCGGCGAGAGGGTAATCCTTTAAAACACCCCGTCACACACCTCTGCAACTTCGAGCAAGACGCTATCCCCACACACAAAGCCACCTCAACTGTGCTGCAGCTTCACGAAAATGGCAGCGCTTATTCCAAACATCACACCTACTCGAACATTCGAAGATCATGAGGATCGCGTGATCGCACTTGCAGTTTTCCGCGACAGTGATGAACGCATGGTCACGGGCTCGTATGACGGGATGCTTCGTCTATGGAACTTGAAAACAGGTGTAGTGTTGAAGAAGATGGAGGGGCATCGCAGTCGGGTGCGCGCATTGGCTGTTTCACGAGATGGAAAATGGATAGCAAGCGGTGATGAGAGCGGTGATCTCATCGTCTGGCATGGAAACACTGGGGAACCACTCAACCAAGCACTCGATAAAGCTCACAACAGCTGGATATTCTCGCTTGACTTTTCTCCAGATTCCAGGATGCTGGCCAGTGGATCATCTGACACTACCACAAAGCTATGGAATACATCGACGTGGGAGGTGAAACATATACTCAGTTGCAATGGAACTGTCTGCTGCGTTCAGTATTCGCCACGGCCGATAGGCAATTTCCAAGCACTTCTTGCAATTGCAACGCACCACTACGGTGTCCAAATTTACCAGAATGACACTTCAAAGAGATATAATGACGATCTCTACAGTTACCACGGTCGCAATCACACACCACGTTCTCCATACCCCAATCAATTGATGAGAACGATTGGTGAAGGA